TAGATTTTTATTTTCTGATGGTCATAAAATTATTAACCTTTTAATATACCACCAAGATCTGACTCATTATATACAAAGCTCTGCTAGATTCCTGAAACTGAAGAAAGCTTTTATTATTCAGGATTCAGGCATTAAAACAATCAACATCAATTTATATCTGCAAGGAAATCTGTTGGGTCCCCTGAAAGCAGCTTTTCAGAAAAGATAAATCTGATAGTTCTGAAAGGTACCCACATATTAAGAAGTGACGATATGACATGGTTAGGATTCAGACCAAAAAAGAATAGCATAAAAGCTATTGGATAACAGGGTACTTTGATAATGTCATATTTTAAAGATTTGTAACACATAGGTCAGCTTGTTTCATCTCATTCTTCCACCTTACAAATTTGCTTGTCTTTTGGCTCAGTTATGTTATTTAGTTATTGAGATCCTTTTCTCCATTAACTGGCCTTTTAATAAGAGTCTCTTTGGCTCCAGGCCTTTAGCTAGAAATGTGTATGGCCGTCCATTGTACGGCCTTTTTTTTTTTTTTAAATCAGAAATTGTAGGCCCTGTGTTTCCAAGGAAACTTTGCTCAGATGTTAAAAATTTTCCCAGCAGCAGCTGCTGGAGTTGGAAAAATGTAACTTTTGCTGCTTAACATTTCACATCAACCAATCAGAGAAGTTGATCTGAGGCTGGCAGGAAGAGGAATGTCACAGCTGAAGCAACTTAACTCAAAGGAAAAGTCCGGTGATATTCAGTAGTCAAACTTCTGAAAGTACTTTAAATATGCAATTAGTACATACTGTTCAATAAATTATAAGTGTTTTTAAAATAAGAATAATTTCATTTGAATGTTCTTTACCAGAGACATCCATTTTTGTCAAAGAACACTACTGCCACCTACTGGTTTGTGACGTCATGGAGCGGTATTGGCTGTTGATCAAGTCCCAGTGCTGTATCTGGTGTTTGTCAACGTGCCATTATACAAGTCATCTTGAAAACATTCTTCTTCGAAATGTTGGCTACATATTACGTGTTTGTTCTCTGGCCAGAGGTTCGATGGCAAATCTTCCCTCTTTAAGTTGGCAATCCAATGATGAACCCGTCCTTGGAGGATGATGAATCGGAAAGGTGAAATAACAAATTTGTTTCACTTTTACCTGATGTATTACAACC